GTTGCCCCCCCTCACAAAGATCGATCATCTCCACCGCAGCTGCAGCCTCATCTGTGACTAGCGGGGCTTTCAAACTGTCCGTCTCCGCATTAAATGGGTCGATGAGGAATGTAATCTGCGGCCTTTTCAGTTGTAGATCACGGAACCGGGTCACAAAGCTTTCGTGCAGGTTTTCAACCAGTGTTGCATATCTGGCTCTTTGCTTATTCAGCGCGGCGCTGGTGACTTGCCCGCTGGCTTTTAGCAGAGTGGGAAAATGCGTTAAATCTCCCTTTTGAATATGCGCCTTGAACAGCTTCAGTTTGTTGACAAACGCAAACACACTTAGAGAGTACCTGGCCTTTTGACAGCCACCTCACAGTGCAGTGCAGCGGCAGGTCACCTGGAAGCCCTTGGTCCAGCTCAGCGATGAGATTCTTCAATTGCCTGTGGTTAAGCGCAAGTGTGCGGATGTAGTTGACGATTTTCATCTCAAGCACATGCGCATTTGACGAAAATACCGTATTGAACTCAAGCGAAGCGAACACGCACAAAAAAAAAACACAAACTTCGATATGAACGTAAGAGCCGCATGAAACCAGGCAAAGAGCCGCATGCGGCTTGGGAGCCGCGGGTTGGCCACTCCTGAGTTAGACTGTTAAATGCTTAGGCATGCCTATGAGTTTCTACAGGGTACATCTGGTCAAGGATAACTAGATAGAAAGTTGATGACTGTCAGCAGACAGGATGTTTAATATTATTATTATGACGTGTATAACTGTAGTCTTAGCCATAATATGTTCTCATGTTTAAGCTACGACATGTACTAGAGGTCGTGAGAATGTTTTTAGTTACCCACCACTTAACCAACAGACACACACATTCACACGTTGATTTGCTTCATGTTTTGACTACTGCTATGGCCAGCTGCAAAGCTGGTAACAGGGACGTCCCGGTTGACGTTTCTGTGTAGTATGGGGCTAGCCTAAACGAGGTGATATAATGTATAGGCCTGGTGGGCTCAGGGTCTTTCATCTTACATCTGCCTGCGTGCAGTTTGGAGGTGCAAGATACTTGAGCGTGCAATGTTAATTTTACCTGTGATCCTTTGAATAAATCAGCACTGTTTTGAAGTTACTTGGACTGGCTCGTCTCAGAGTTAGCAATGGTAACAAGAACCATATCCTACATGTGTCTGTTCTTATGGTGGTGTCTGTTCTTATGGTGTTATGTTGGTTGTTCTCTATTGCTGCTGTAACACAGAAATGTCCCCACTGTGGGATCAGTAAAGTACCTACCTACCTTCTGCTGCTAATATGTTGTTGAACTGATTAGGTCTTACACATCTTCATTTTTACCTGTTCATGTTCTTATATTGACTGTACAATTCTTGTGCTATTTATGTAAATAATGTGCCTTTTAAGCTGAGAGCTGCTGGAAGAAATTTTGTTTTGCTATGCATAATGACAATAAAGATTCTTGACTTGACTAAACCTATAATAAAATGTTCCGTAGCAGAAAAGTAACATGGATACGCAAAATCATTTGAAGTATGAAATTAGGGTTTGGACCTTTGATCTAGGTGGAAGTTAGGTGTCAAATGTGGGCGGTGCTTAAGGGTTATCTAGAGTTTACACTTTGAGCGACAGGTCACTCTATATCTTTCTCTCATGATATAAAACTAATTTTACAATATCAATTATAAAGCTGATGTTAGTTGGGTTTCCATTAGTTTTCATTTTCATTAATACTGTCAAGCATCACATTTTGACTCCAGAAATTCATACATGAAACAACAGAGACATCAGACTTCCATCATCTGAGCTCTGACTGCAGCTCTTTGAATCAGCTCATCTTCTCCTGCAGGGCCTCAATGGCACCGGCTGGAGAAACAGCTCCACCAGCTGTTTATCTGCATCACCCAGTCAGCTCAGGCTCCCATAGCAGGATGAGACAGGACTTCACTCAGGGTTTATTTCTGTGACATTGTGGCAGAAGCTTGACTGCAGCCTCTCTGTGTGTGTTCAGACAGCCTTCATGCTGACTTCCTCCATCAGCTCCGTTGTTGCTGTGAACAGACTTGGCAGGATCGATTGGCAGAGCTGGAGTGCTGTAAGGTAAAAACACCCAAAGACCACATTCACATCCAGGCTGAAATCTCTGCATGTTGGCTACATGTGTCACTGTGTGCACCATTCAGGATGTTATACCAGTGCCTGAGTTCAGAGTGGAAATATCAGGTTAGTATGGAGCCTCAACCTTGTCTCCCAACCGGAGGGTCAGAGGTTTGAATCTTGGTGCCTGCAGTACACATGTCGAAGTGTCCTTGGGGAAGACACTGAACCCCCAAGTTGCCCCTGATGGTTAGAGCCATCGGTTGAGGTGACGCCACAGATGGCTGCCTCGGTTCTGTACCGGAAACAAATTCCTTGTGTGTAACATACTTGGCCAAATAAAGTGATTATCCTTATCCTTAAACATTCACACAGTGGCACAGGAAGAGCCATGACAGTGACAGAAATCTCTCATCCCCTTTTCCCTCAGTAACAGACGCTCAGTAGTGAGCAGGGAGAAGACCATCAACATTTAGCTGGAGCCTGAATGTACTGTATGTCCATCTAGTACCACAGACCACAACCTCTACAGAAGTCCTTGCATTGCATTCATAATCCCAAAGTAGTAGTAAGTGCCACCAGCCAGTGTCTCAATCTTGTAGTCCTTTTTAGTTTTCAAAAGAGAGCGCCCATCCTTTGATAAACCAGGATGGAAGGCTTTACGAATTGACAGCAAAGCTGTTAGAGATATGCCAAACTGCACAGCTCAATCTGCCAGAGATGCACTTAGACTGTCAACCCTGTTCTTGTGACTTTAACCATCGTCACTACTGGAATTTGAGTCACAGGCCATTTCGTCATAGTCATCACAGTTGCCTTCTTCATCGCTGACCTCCTCAACCACAACCCCAAGTTCCTCCACTATGCCACCTTCTTCCTTCCAATTCTCACCAACAGCCCCTTCCTGCACTGGCATACTAGCTTCTTCGCTCAATTCCTCATCAAGCCCAGCATCCTCCAACATGCTAGCCATTTTCAACCTTCTCAATGAATTTATTCACACACTTGATGGCATTTTTTTCTGATATTATTCTGTGCATTGTAACTCCAATGTTTAAGAAAACTATTCATTACCTGTTGGTAAAGGCAAAGTAGCTCTTTCCTGGTCACAGTATGGGCAGTCCAAGACCAAAAGTGTCAGAAACGGCGCGCGTAATGCGGCCGAAAAGTGTAACACAAAACTCACGGTCGGTATCAGTCCCAGGTCAGAGCCTGCAAACACATACATCCAGGGAAATCCAAAGTTCGTTGTCCAAAAGAGAAAGTCCGATAATCATACACTGTGGCAGTCCGTAACAAGTGGGCGAGGCAGAATAGAATAGTCCGAGGTAACAGTCCGAGATCATAAACACAAAATACCAAAACCGAAGAAAATGCTGGAAAGTCAGAGCTGGGGTCTAAAACAATCTGGCAGCGTCCTTGTGGGAGGACGCTGCCTAAATAGAGGTGTAAACAGGTGCAAATAATAACAAAACAGGTGAAACTAATGTGAGTGATGAAGAATGTAAAAAGACCAAAACTAAGGTGAAACAAAAACAGGAAGTAATGTCAAAATAAAAGCTGGACGGGAAGCAGCGGAACCGAATCATGACACAAAAGAGATGTCTGGTGAGGGTGAGACAGAGAACTGAAGGTACCACTTACCTGTCAAACTGATCTACTGGGAGAGAGACAGACTACTTACCTGTCCCAGTGCATAGAGTCATAAGCAAGAGTGGTATTTTTGAGAGGCAGAGTAACTTGGATTCTAAGATAGGAAGGGGATGCTGCCTTGGACTTGAAGCAGAATTTAAGGTGTTGTAAAAATACAGAAAATCTGGCAAATTAATGCCATCAAGCTCCTATCAGAATTGATCAGCAGGGCATCGCATCTCTCAAAGCAGCCTACTCCCTTAAGAGAGAGTGTGAAATGGAGAGACAGAGACCATTTGGGGCTGTTTAAGGGAGACTGTGCCTGTAAGACCAGAGGAGAGGAGTGAGAAATTTTATTTTTATGGTTATACACATTTGACTATACATTTATACTGGCTTTTTAACTCACAAAGTGTGGAGAGAGAAGTGAAAAGTATAGACTCCTTACCAGTGGATACCCAGAAGTGAAAAGTGTAGACTCCTTACCAGTGGATACCCAGAGTCCTTAAGTGGATGGGGTCTGGAGGAAATGTCTGGAGAAAATAAAGAAAAATGGATAGTATTAATTATAAAAAGTAACCAATTTAACTTTAAAATTACTTTAATATGACGTATCCATAACGTTCTGCATGAAACCTCTGTAGTATGTGTAATCCATAGGGATCATCTGGGAGTGTTTTATAGCATAAAAACAAGAACTGTGGCAATGAAATTATCACAACTTCCTATGTTGTTGTACTCCTACTGGTGTGTGATCTGCATTGTGTTCTACAATTCTTTTACAGCTGCTACATTTCCACATTGCTGTACCCATTAATAACTGATAACATTACAAGCGAGTGTTGTTTGAAGGATTAGTTCCCATAACAAAAACTACTGCACAAGGATCAACTTGTGCTAGTTCTATCTCCTTGTTACTCAATATAAATTCATCCTGTGTTTTACAGTGCTCTACCATGAGTGTGAGAGTGGAAAACACATCAAAGTAGAGGGGAGAGGCAGATTTAGAGAGGGGAGAGTATGTTGACTTCATTCAATATAATTATAATAAAAGCCTAACTAATACTGCACACATTGGTGCTGAGTGTTCATAAGGTGTCTGAACATGTTTCTGTAGAACTGACATGTAAATCACTAAATTATTTTAAAATTAAATTTAGGAGGTTGTCAGCCTGCAATATTCTTTGTATAATGACAAAGCCAAAACACAAAAGAAACAATTTGACTGACAAAATGGAAGTTGACCTAGAGCCTTATCTGTTGATAAACTCAGACTTTTAAGAGGCAGCCCTACATTATTGGTGGTGTAATCTATCATTCATGTTGATAAATTCTACAATAATATGGAAACAGTAGTTAGTAGCAAAACCTTTGCATAACACACAACAGATCACAAAAACATATATAATATAAAGATTATATATTAAAGATTTTAAACAAAAATAAAACACTTCACCAATCTTAAACACTGTACCATAAACAATTTTGGTTGAGTGAAATAACATTACATTGACTTTTGTGATAATGTAGCTTGCACACAAAGTCTGGCAACCAGGTGTGACACACTGCAGTCAGCTGAAACATAAGTTACACTTTGCCTAATCAACTAGACTTTGTGCCACAATCCTCAGCTAAGGTACCCCAGTATGCTTAAAATTGTATCTCACATGTGTTTAACTAGCACATTTAAACTGTTGGAAAATGCTCTCTGTGACCTTATCACTACATCTGATGAATCACTGACAGTCTCAACTAACCTAGAAGCCCGACAATGTCTGAACTATCACACTTCATCTAACACAGACTTTGAACTATCTGCTGCTCCAGTGCTTACGTAACATTTCTCACAAAGAGATCTACAAAAGAAAAAAGTGGCTTTTATGACAAAATATTGTGGCGACCCAGTGAGGGGGGTTATGTTGTTAGGTATTGCAGGCTGTTACGTTGTTCATGTCGCTTTAAGAGACTGCTGAATTATGGGGGTTCTCATGTCAAAAAAAAAAAAAGGGGGGAAGAGCCCGGGGAGA